CCAGCTGCGCGAAGACGCGGGCGGGAGGCGGCGCCATCGCGCTAGGCCTCACCTCTCCTCCCGGCACCATGGCAACCAACGCCGGCCGCCCACTGCACCGTGGGAAGCGGGCACGTGACCCTACGTCACCACGACAGCCCCCGCGGCGCCGCGCCTTTCCGCCATGACAGCTACCGAGGCGGAAGTGCCCGCGCCCGCCTGCCTCAGGGAGCTCCGCCATGATGTGCCGAGGGTTCTCGTCCGTTGAAGCAGGGAGGGAGCCGTTGGGGAGGCCACGTACTCAAAGGAAAAGTCAACCTGTATTTTCCACGTTTTTTTTTTTCCAGAATATTGTTTCCATTCTCGGAGATACCCAAAGCCCGAGTAGACTCAGAGCAGTCAGCTCTTTGGCTTTGCTTTGAGCAGGGGAGGGTTGAGCTAGGCAACCTCCAGAGTCTTCTTCCAAGCTGTGGAAAAACATTCACTAAGCACTTGGAACAGGATGTGTAGTTTGACCTTACAGGCTTATTTTTGTGTAGGGTATCTCTATCTTGGCTTGTGTTTGTGTAATGTAGTTGTCAAAAAAGGAAAATACATGTTAAAATCATGACTGTGAGGAACACTCAATCAGCTAAACCCAAGGTTTCATGCCTGTGAATATTGGTCTGTATGTCTGTTCTTTTTGATACTAAAATATCTGGAAGGGTGAGAGGTGGGTGAATTGTCATTACTGTTTTAATTGATCCCGCATAAATTTGGGAAAGAGATGGAAAACTGACAATATTTTGTGTTTATGTAGGGTTTTTTAACCTCCAGAATGCACATTGCAAACATTTAAGAGTTTGCTTAGTATGACACAGATAAATATTGTTATACTTAGGACACACAAAGACATCAAGATCGGATTTTACAAGTCAGAGGCAGATTTTTTGAAAGTAGTGAGGATGAGAAATATTCAGGGAGCCAAAGTCCTCTCTCTTTTCCCCTCTCATTAACTCCCCCTAGAGTGTGCTCAATGTCTTGTCATAGATTCTGTACAGAACTCCTTTCTCACTGTTAAAACCAGCCTTAAGCAACCTTAAGTCTTGTGTGCCTCGTGATATTTGGAGTTTTCTGCCGGGGCAGATGCGAATGAGTTTTTCTCTCTATAGCTGCTGAACACCTACCACTTAATAGATTGTATCCACTAGGTGTTCATTACCTCTGGAGACGACTCTCCATGATTCCCAGCATGAAAGAAAAAGAAGTAGGGACACCTGGAACTTGGAATGTAACTGACTTCTTAATTAAAGTTACTATGTGACCAGACAAGGATGGAGCTTGCAACAGAATCCGTAAGTACTGATGTCTGATCACTTAAATAAGTTCCAGACAATGCTGACTTCAAGAAGGGAAAAAGAATGTAAAATGAAAATTAATATGGCAGAAATCGGAAATGTATATTCCTAAGAAATAAAATCTTCTGTTAAAAAGGGACTTAAGATGATTTGGAAAGCAGTCTGTCAAAACAGAACTTTTTTTTTTTTTTTCATTTAGCTGAGATGTAGTGAATTTACTTACTCAAATATGTAACAGTAGAAATGGGCACACTCTTAAATAGTGAATGCTAGTCATTAAGAAATCATCAGTAAAATGCTGGATAATCTATTCAGCCAAGCTGCATACCATCCAGGTTGTTTTTATGTGGTGAGCACTACTCTCATTTAGCTGCTAATGAAAACTGATTTCCTTCTAATTTTGTCTTTTGTTGACATACAACCTGTATCAGCCAAATCCTTTGGAGTAGCTACGTGCATATATGCAATGAAATGCCACATATTTTATGCATTTTAAAATTAAATGCTACATCATGCTTAACTTTCTGGGAACACAGTGTATTTACTACAAATGCTGCAAAAAGGTATCATAATTAAAGAGCTTATTTGGATATGTTCTAGAAGATGTTTTCCAAGGCCAGTTATGAAATTACATTATAGGCAAATTAATCTTGGAAAAAATACGTTTCTCTGAAATGCAGTGCAAGTGTTATTAGGTAGTTAACATGCACTGTAAGAACAGCATACACTAAGGTTAATATACTAACATAACCACATTTACTTTGCAGTATTTTTAAGAGTCCTTTGCAAAGTGACAGTATGTTGGGAAGCTGTCACTCAGAATTTGAATATAAAATCACATCTGTAGGTAACAGCCTTTTTCTGGCTTTGAGTAGGAATTATTTTTGAAAATGGCTGGACTGGATTAAGCTGTTCCTGAGATATTATAATTGAGAATGTGACTACAACATTGAGAATTAACCACAAATTACAGCGAGATGAAGATGCTAAATTGTTTTCAGAATTTACTTTTTCTTTTGGAAACAAGTGATTTAGGTCTGATTGTATTTCTGATAGTAGCTGTGCTAATTTGCCTAGGACTTCTAATCCTGGTCCTTGGTTTGTTTTGCAGAGAGTTGTAAGATTTTTTGGAGGTGTGGGATGTGTGTGGAAAAGAAGTCTCTGTTAAATCCATTCCAGGGATTTGCTTGTGAAAGGGGAGCTTGCTGGAACCATTTTGCCTCAAGTCTTTCTGTCATCTGTCCCCAGGTGGAGTTCATTACGATAGCATTTGGTGTCTGTGTTATCTTGGTTGTTCCCTACCATGCTCCTGTGCAGAGCTGGGCACTCACGTGCCAGTGGCAAATGCTCCGTTACAGGCCTTGGTTTGTTACGCTTTCAAAGCCATGTCCTGCTCAAAACTGAGAATAGAGACAATTCCACAAGATTTAAAATGATTTTGTCGTAATTCTCTCAAACCACTGAATTCTCAACTGAATAAAGAGCATGGAAGGGTTTAAAACTTTTTCTCCATCTTTCTTTTTTTTTTTATTTGCCTGTTTTGTTTTTAAGAAAAAAATGCATAAAAGAAAGAGAAAACAAAGTTAGTGGCCCTGCCACAGCTGTTATTTTATTTCCAAGATCAAAAAATATTGGATAAGCATTGAGCCCCGGCTCCAGCCAGAATGGAACTTAGATGATTTCTGTGAAGCTAAAATCTGGTTTTAAGGATCAGTTTCTGCAGGAGACTTCTGCGTGTAGAAAACTGTAGGAAACACCTCTCTAGCAAGAGGAATATGTTGTCCACATAGGAGAAGTCATAGTGTTGCTGGAAAATAATAATACAGACTATTTGAATTGTTGCTTTCCTTTAAGCAATTAGACATCTCACAGATTCAGAAGGGATATGATTCTTTTCTTCCTAGGTTTTCCCTTAAATAGTGATTTGGCAGGATAAAGTGACTTTAGAGATGATCCTTAAAAAAACACTGGCTTGTGCTCAGGCTGCACTCAGATGTGGTCTGACCTTTAACTTGTCCTCTTAATAAAAGGGAAGTTTACTTGGTTTTCTAATTCAAATTTAGCATACAAGGTGGGCAGTGATCCTGTTATCTGTTCTCTGGTTGTAGCCATTGATGAAATGAGCCAATAGTTTTATTTCAGGCTACCAATCAAGAAGCCACAGTACAAAAAACATCAGATCACTATGGACAGTTCCTGTAAAACCGCTGAAGAGCTTCACACAGCTGCTGCTGAAATCAGTTAAAAGTCTATGGCTGTCTGCAGTCACAACTCAATGAAACCCTAAAGCATGGTGCATATTGATGTTATAATGTAGAGAAAAAGTTAAACCAAGACCATCAGAAATTAGGTTTAAATATAGTTTCTCTGGAATACCTCGTGTTCTGTTTTTAGTGGCACCTAAAAGTGAAAGAAAATCGTGGTTTCAGTTTGAGAGTATGGACGTTGCACGATGGATAAACGACTCCTTGAAGTGCTCCTCACGATTGCATTGGCCAAGAAGTCGTCTGAAATTATTCTATGTCAGTAATAAAGCTTTGCCAAAAATTGAAAAGCATATTTAAATAAATCAATAACCTAAAAATAGCAAATCTGAAGAATCTGATCAAATTAACTGAAAAGTAATTTAAAATTCTATAAGCAACTGTTAATTAAAAATTACACTGGCTTAACAATTTTAATACTAAATCCCAGTTCATTATTTAAAATGTCAGCTGAGCTTTCATGAGTTATGAAGGAAATAATACACATATTCTCCAGCCTATAATTTTGTATTTTCTTAGAAGTATTTAATGACAGTGAACAAATACCCATGTACTTCTCACATATAAAACATCTTAATGTTACCTGCTCACAATTTTTCCTTCTTTAACAGTGCAACATACCCCTGTAATTTGACCGTCATGGAACCTGATCATTACAGCAATTGCATCTTCAGTAGAAGCCAATTAAATGAACTTTGCAGAGGCAACTGTGCAACTGGCTGGGGATAACTGCGGAATCCAAAATTTTAGAGCTAAAAAAATCCCCATGTAATGACTTCCCTAAGAAGCCATGCAGCTTTCGTAAGTTTGAAAATGTGCTGCCTGAAAAACGTGCTTTTAGAAAAATATATAATGCCGATGGAAAGATTGTGGAGAGCATCTTGCTATTCTTGGTCAGATATTTATTTATTAATTATTTTAATTGTTTTAAAATAGTTATTATGCCACATAGATTCATAGAAAATAGGGATTAGGAGAGAATAGAATTTAAGAAATCTTTTCCAAGGCAGATTCAACAGTCCTTGATAGATTTTCAACTAAGAAATGCTCAGAGATGGATTTGTTTTTTTTTCACTTCCCAATATCTCAATATCTGTCCTTACTGTCTGCTGCTTGCTTCTGTCCTTTTTTGACAGGAGATTTGAGCACTGCACTGACTCGGCGCTTTATTGGAAGCATCAGTAACCAGAAGGCACTGTCTTAGGAGTCTCCCTTCTTCCTCTGAGCTTAGTTCCTTAATTTCACATCAGTTTTCCCCTTGCACCCTCTCTTTGACTTCCTTCCCTCATGACTGATTGCAGAAACCTGTGTCCCATCTTTGAAATGCAAAAGGAAGCAAGTTTTACCACAGCAGATTCGTTCTGGGACCTCGGCTCTCAGACCCTGCACTTAGCTCCTGAGCGCGGCCTGATTTAGCGACACCCTTTGAATTGTGTCTGGGTGGCCATGAGGCTGTTTCTTTTTTCCCCAGAGGAGCTTTTATCAGACCAGTTTCTGGGATTTGTCTGCTCAGTTGCATTTCTGTTAATGTGACTGATCTTCAAAATGAGTACTTAAAAACTGTCTAAGTTTGGGTTAGAAACTATTTTTTCTTAAAAAATGCCCTTCCCCTTGCCTGTTATTTATTTATTTAACTCTAC